AAAGACTGAACAATTTCGGTACTGAGCAATGTTGTAGCGCCCTGAACCCCCGCTGTCTCTGGAGTCTTGGTGCTCTTGGGAATGGACCGAATCAAGTCTCCCTGCAGAGCTCCACAACATAGAGCAACTGGAAGCTACCCTGACCCAAATTCGAATGCTCTGGCTGCTACTCGTTCGAGTATAAGGTTTAGTAAATTGACATTGGGTCTTGGCCTCTTGCTTCGCAATGTCACAAAGGTCATTGAGTTGGAGCCAGATACAGATCCTATCCCTCCTCACTTAGGCCACTCACCCTTCTCTCACAAGCACCTTGACCAAGTTTTGAAATTGGTTGAGGAGGCCTGAGACGGAATGGCAGTTGTGATCTCTGGTGACAAGAAATCATCAAAAAGTGGGGCAGGTGAGTGGAGTGATTCTACCTCATTGGCTCAGCCACAGAAAAAGCTAATAGGTGGCACATCAGACCAGCAGAAGACTGACCGCCTTGCATCTGCAAAGCCTGCTCTCACAGCTCTAGAGGGGCTGCCAACCGCAGTACCTACCAATTCTCCTACTGTACAGCAAGAAGGATCTCTGAACACACTGGCTGAGCTGCAGGAGAAGCATGTCCGTGAGGATGGAGAGGAGGAGGGAAGCTTGTTAAGAAAGAAACCGCAGTCTAGGGCTCGTGCTACAACCCTAGCTCTAGAGGTTGCTTGCCCTAAATGAAATCGTCATGCCATGGCGCGTGCTCTACGATATTAGTACATACAGTATAATCCTAGGTGGCCTGCTATATAAAATTTGCAACTTCTGTGATATTGTGACTCAAAATTTGACAGAAATAAATCATACTGCACATGGCCCCATAGCAACAGCTGCTAATACTAATTGTAAAATTCTATCCTCAACTGATGCCTACACCCAGGCATTCCACGGTCACCTACTTCACGCCTCGGTAAAGACCCATTGTCAAATTCTACACTCAACTGATACCTGAACCCAGGAATCCCTTAATCACCTACTCCACATTTTGGTCCAGGCCCTTGGTAACATTCCATTCTTGACTGAGACCTGCACCCAGGCATCCTATTATCACCTACTCCACACCTTGGTCTAGGCCCCTTGTAAAATTCTACATTCGACTGAGGGCTACGCCCAGGCATCCCATGGTCGTGCCCCTTGTCAGGTTCTACCCTTGACCAATGCCTCACTCCATGCCTCGGTTGAGACCCCTTGTCAAATTCTCCCCTCGACTGATGCCTGCACCCAGGCATCCCATGGTCACCTACTCCATGCCCCGGTTGAGACCTCTTTGGTGTTGCATAGTGCTTATTATCATAATTAATTATATTTATTTCACCTCAGCCAGCACGTGTATATACGTGCTGTCGGCTGAGGTCCGCTACACCCTATTATGGGGCATTTACCCAGTTCGTTATTATCTACTTGTGCGCTGCAGGTGACTGAAAGGTGTGTCCTTACATCGCTTAATTCCAAATTCCTCTTGTTCCTGTTCCTATTCCCTGATTATCATTAGCAAGCACTTCTTCGCCCACTCTGTTATACATATATACTTAGTTTTTACTTCAGATTCCTCAGTTGTTCTTTGCCCCCTCTTTGGCAGTGGCTGAGGTGTGTTTACTTATACATATTTGCTACTCCTAGCTAATCCCTAGTAGTCCAGGCTCCAGGCAATCACTGCCCTCTTATAGTTTTTGTCAGGGAGGCTATATCAAGTACTAATATTCCCCAAATACCCTAATTTATCATAGAGTACATAAACTGTTGCAATGGTGTTACTGTTTTATAATTGGCATATCCATATCTCCACCATCCCAAAAGCAAATCACATGACCCAGGGACCAATTTGTAGCCAGGAGTGACTACTACAATGCACCATACCAGAGCTAAGCAAGATTCTCATGACCTGTTGCAATGCACTTCTGTCACATCCTGTGCCTTTCCCTACCCATTCCCAGCCAGTCACAACCAAATCCCGAACTCTGGACTGTACCCTAGGAGGTTTTCACCCCAACCTCATATCATATACCATATCCCATATCTCATATCCCCACCTCAGACTTTTCACTGATCCTATCTCACTTATGTTGTTTTATTTCGTTCCTCTCCTTTGACACTTACCATTCCTTTCCACATGGTCTCTTTCTATCTCACAATCATTGCACCATTGATATTAGTTATCCTTTCACCATTCTGACACCATTTCAATTTACCCCTCACCATACTCCGAAAACCTGAATCCCTGATTAACCCAAATAGTTTAATAGTTTTATATCTTCTGGACTCCTTAGTATATAAACCTGTTCGTACTTTGTCATATTTCCTTAGTTCAAATATCAACAAAATCCTGTTCTATCCTCAAAGTCCTGACTTCACTCTGAATTCCCTCCTCAGTCCTCAAGTTGAACTTAGGATTGTCCTCTGAACCTCTGCCTCAAAATCAAGGGACAGAACTCATACAGGGGTGCAGCACATAAGCTGAAGCCAAAGTCCCTCACCCCTCTGACCCCCTTGATGGATTCCCAATCCCTTCCGCGCTTCTGCACCTTAGGATTTTCAGGAACTCCAGGATTGAACCCAGACTTGACAGCTTCATGCATCACATTTTGGCCAAACATTGCAATGGTTTATGGAGTCACTGTACTATGGTACCAAAACACCACATTATGTGCATGTAGTGCATTCCCATTTTATTAGAGAAATCTGTTCCATCCTGTTTCTACATGTCATTCCCACTACCTGCCAAAAACATCCCCAAGCACCACCGAGCATGGCCAGTTTTCACTGGGGGTGAGCACTATTCCAGTAGAGATGCAAGGAAGGAACTTACATTTTCCTTGCCTCCTCCTAGGGTTTTGTTTCTTCTTTGCCCAATTCCCAAGGTGCTCTATGGCAGAGCAAACTTTTCATAAATGCTTGGGCATTGGAGGAGCTGACTGGCAGTGACCCTGAGGCTGGGCTCTCAGTGGCATGTTAAACAGACTTTCAGGCTGTATTAGAGTACTTAATCTACAATAATTACCTTGAAAACTCATCTCTTGCTCTGGAATCTGACAAAATACAATTTGCAAATGGAGAAATTGTAGATTCCATCCAGCTCAACAACTTCTCCATTTTATTTTTTCTTTAGGGGGCTTCCTTCTGTTTCCTATGTATTTTCTCCCTCATTCTTGCACCTTGTCACACTTTGTCACATGAGGTTTACCATAAGTGCTCTAGGGCTATCTTGCTATTGATTATGAATACCTTTTATGAAACTGACTTTTCTTATATATAGACATCCAATTTCAGGTCGGATATGGTGTAATGGCTAACATTACCGCCTCTCATATCAGCATGATCGCGGTAGCTCGGGGTTCGATTCCCCGTATCCGAGGAATTATTTTTTTCCTTGGTTTCTAATTTTGTGAGACAT